ATGGTGCTGAAGAATGTTACAGAAGATAGAAAGAGATTTAGCATTATCCGACCATGTTTTGTAATCCATTTCTTTCCCTTAGACTGTAAGGAATGACCTGAACAGATTTTGAGTGGTATAAGAGGATACATGTGTTTGAGATAATGGAACGAGACTCTTGTTCAGTCAAGTTCAAATTTTTTTGGATGGATACTAAACTGTAATTTTTTTTGATTGTTTTTCCAAGATACCAGTTTTAGGCAAAAGAAGTTATTACATATGGAGAGGCACTTATATGGAGCTTTGTGTCTTTTGTTATGATCTGTTGCAATATTATTTTTGGTTTGTACATGGTATTATTGTCCTTGAGGGAATTTAGTGACTTGTCTATTTAGTAAGTATGGTTAATATGATATTTTTGTATAGTTAGAAAGTTCACAAACGTGCATAAACAGGATTTTTATTGGAAGCTTGTTCATTGAATTGCCAAAAGTTGATAATACACTTTTTTTAATTCAAATTTATCTTGGTTCAGCTTGATGTGGAATCTTCGGGGCAATCAACTTCTCAGTCTAAAGGGAATAAGAAGGTTCTACATCTTTTCTTCAGTTTACTATTGAATGTTTATGTTCCACATTGCAGCACGCTAACACTAAACCTCACTAGGTAACTAAACTGCTGGATGGGGACAGAAAAGATCAGTATAGTCCACTTCAAAGCCATGGTATGTATCTGTAGTTCTTATTTTTATTTCGTTCAAGGTTGATTAATGTTACAAACGAAGTGGCAAATAGGAGTGAGTGAGTATTCTCTTCTTCCTCCCTATTTCACCCCAACACCGCCCCCCCCCCCCCCCCCCCCCAAAAAAAACAAAAAAAAATGTAATAGTTTGTCAGATATCTCTGGTAAAACCTATAGGTTGATAACAAAGCAGTTCAATCTTCAAGTTGTAGGGCTGTCTTTTTCTTATCTCCATTTATCAGGTTCTGAACATATACAGTTTGGGCATCTCAGAGAAAAACAGCTTTTTAATCCACATTGTCCCAGTTAATAACTTTGAACTGAAAACTGATCCAGAGCAGATTGCAAACTTGCATACTCTGTATTTCAAAGTTATAAAGGAGACTTGTTTTCATGGCTAATAGTCAACCATAGCAGCTAGATGGTTATTTTCCCATCTCCTTTTCCATCACTTAATTTCACGCGCACAGAAGCTGCAGTCTTTCTTTTTTTTTTTTTAATTAAAACTTTGCCTCTTGAAGCAGTAAATCGGAACCATGACTGAGAAACGGGATACAGAATGCAAAATGTATTTTCCTTATTGTTGTTGATATGAAAATCAATTGTTTAAATTATGTTTCTGCATTTCAACAGATTCATTCTGGGACAAATTGAAGTCGGCTGCTGAGAAGAAGGTATGCTTTGTTGCATCCATGACTTGTGTTCTTAGTTAAAGAGTAATGTAGGGCATTCATTCTTAAGTATGAAATGAAAATCGGTAAAAGGGGAGAAAAAAAAAGTAATGACATGAAACTTCGTAGTAACGCTAGTTTGGGGTTCCTGCTTCCATCACCAATCCTTAAAACCTGCCTTTCCATTTTTAAGTAAACTTCTCCCTAATCATGTTTATGATTATTCTATTGGCTTGCTTTGCATGTATAAGGTCCTTGATACATTTTACTTACTGTGGTAAATATACAATGCAGTATTTTCTGCTTCTGCAGGCATTCTTGAACCGTGTCAATTGTGATGATTGTGAACAACGTAAACAATTTCTGGAATTTCTTTTCCTTTTTCGTTTACTCCTCATAAATCATAAGTATAATTTTATTGGTCAAGATAATGTTCATAAATGTATGTGTCTTGAGTTGGGCTTAAGTTGACATTCTGCTTAAGTTCACTTGCAATATAATTATATTCAGAGGTTTACCTAAGTTGACATTCTGCTTTATACACTTGATGAAATAAGATAAATACTTAAAACTGTCAGTAGTCACCTAGTAGAAGCTCAAAAGGTGTGCAAGAAGCAATGAAAAGTGATCCATTTAATCATCAGTTGCATTAGGGTTGAAACTTATCGTCAGTTAGAGCAAAACAAAAGAGTGATGCTCCTCAGCTTCTGATGTTGTGGGATCATGTGAAGAGCTAAATGTGTATAGGTCTTGTACATCCATGCTAAATGTATGCAATCTTGTATCTCTATGTTTAGAAGCTATGTTCCTTTCAGGGTAGAAATATGAGAGGAAAGATGGTCCAGAATTTATTGGTGCATGAATGGGCTAATCCAAACATCAGAAGATACATTAACAGAATTAGTTTCGAAATGTCCTGAGCAAAATGCTAGTATACTTCAAAAAATAAATAATAATACTAATAAATAAAAAAAATGTTTGCCTGCAGTTTCCCCTTGTGGCTCAAGTTAATACTGGATCCTCGCTCTAGGAGGTGAGACACAGAATGCTTTTTAAAAAACTGGTTAGAAGAGATAAGCCTAAATAGAGGATTCATAGGACTTCAACCAAAATGGTTTTTTCAGAAATGGGATAGTAGAGCTCAAATGTTCACTCATGCATTTGTTCTTGCTGAAGGAGAGCTCATTTGGTCACTGAATCAGATAAAAAAAAACAGTGCTGTTGCTCTACAAAAATCATAACGGAATACCACAGTGTGGAGAATATCCATCTCTCAAGTACAACCATGAATAAACTGGAAGATGTTGTTCTAAGAAGTTGAAGTATCTGCTTGTCTGTGATGGTGAAAAGCTTCACTGCAAATGTATTCTCAGCTTCTTGATTTTCTTTTCCTTTGTCCAATATAGTTTTATTTTTTGTGATTTTCTTACTATCATATAATTACTGGGAATGGTAGACTCTGAATCTTGCTGAGTTAGACAAACTATGAGAAGAGTTTAACAGGATCTTTTTAGTCTTGAAAGTAGAGAAGGAAATTTTGTATATGTTGGACATGGCTTACCAGCTCTGTTTATGACTTCTGTAAGTCTGGTTGAAATGCACTGTGAATTCTGTTAGACCTGACTACGAAATTTATTCACTGAATGGACTTTTGCATAGCTTGGACATTAGACATGACTAGTTTTCTTAATGGCTTCGACAGTCTGGTCATAAATGCAATGTGAGTTAAGGTGATCTGAAGGGAAAGAATTCATTGGAGTAGAGGGCAGATGTGAGACATATGGGTCTGGTGGTTTAAGGTTGTGTGGATTCTGGATAACAAGTGGGTAAAGAGGGACAAGTTTGTGCATTCATTACAAGTTATATGATCCAAAGTGATTGAATACTCTTATATAAGCTTCAAACAATACAACAAGTAGCTTGTTTAATTGCTGTACAGCAGGTTTTAGTGAGTTGATATTTCTAAGACCTATTTCTTATTTTATTGGTGGTATTATGATGCATTCGTGCTGTTGTTGCATGTTGTATATGTTTTGGTTTCGGTGGTGCTCGAATAGGCTGCTCTATGCATACTCATGTAAGATTGAATACTCTTATATAAGCTTCAAACAATACAACAAGTAGCTTGTTTAATTGCTGTACAGCAGGTTTTAGTGAGTTGATATTTCTAAGACCTATTTCTTATTTTATTGGTGGTATTATGATGCATTCGTGCTGTTGTTGCATGTTGTATATGTTTTGGTTTCGGTGGTGCTCGAATAGGCTGCTCTATGCATACTCATGTAATTTGGCCTATCTATCACCTATTTATTACATATCTCAATGTTTTGTGCATGCTTGTGTAACCTAATTGTATGTATTACGTGATTGGCCTGCCTATTGAGAAAATGAAGAAAAAAAATTAATACCATTGTGGTTAGGATTATGACTTGTACACTAACTTTGGGAGGTTTCAGCGGAATGATACAACCAGAATGGCCAAGTCCTTTTTAACTATTATTTTGATGTGTAACAGGTTGGTCCAACTGAGGCAGAAAAGATTTGCAAGGCATTTCAACAAGTTTACAAGAGAGTTGTAAGGATATTAGTCTATGTTTAGCACCTTTTTGAAATCACTGTCTGATCTTTTTCTCCATTTCTTATTGCTAAGGGCCTTGGAGCAATTGACTTCCTCTTCCTCTACGTTGGTCCATATACAACTTTGCATAACCAAGTTCTGTTATCTTTCAGGTATATGAAGAATTGAGTTTAGAAGCTGCTCAGAAGATCATAAACTCTTCAGGAAATCCCAAAATTTAGAATCCAAGTCTGTCTTTTCACTAGGCAGGAGAAGGTTGTAAATCAATCGATGTGACCCAGGATGCGTGCAAGATCTATATAGAATTTTTCTAGCTTTGCCAAAACTGATGAACAAGATTCGCGCGCAGGAAATTGAGGTAGTCTTGCTTTTGCTTTGTCCACTGTGTAGTGATTTCTGTATGGTTTTTAGTTTAACGAAGTATATCGGTGCTGCCAAACATAAAGACTTGTAAGAAATACAATATGGTGAATGAAGTGAATTTTGTAGAGTTGCTGGTGATGGTGTAGGTTTGGAAGAAGTCTTATGGTTCCCCACACCATTGTTGTATTTGCTTCTGTAATTTGGTAATGTCACCTATTCTGCCTATTTAGGAACTTATAACCATTGTGCTTCGACTATAACATAGTTGGATGCAATTAGTTTCAGTAGTGGCTTTTACACATTATAGTCTTGGAAGGCTGATACAGCACCATCCAAATGGCAAATTTAGAACAAAAAAAAAAAAGTGGAGGCTTATGGAACAACTCATCTCTCAGTTTCATCAGAAACTTTGAATCAATATACATAATTAAGTTCCTTAAAGAAGGCCTCTTGTTGCAGGATCATCAGTTTTCTTGTGCTGGTCAAATTGAATCAACTTCATTCAGATTTATTGCTTGCATGTAATATAATTATATAGAGACTTGGAAAGAAAGCTTAACCCTAAAAAAACCCAGATCAGCAACCAAAAAAAAAAAAAAACTTAGTCAAAAACAGCATCAAATCCTCAACAATGAAGGTTTGAACTTGAAGTTTGGCTACAACAAGATCTAGATTCCATCAAAGTCCTCATCATCGAAATCGAGACAACCATGGCAAGCACAACAAACAAGATCATCCTTCACAATACCTGCAGGCAACTGCCCTAATTTCTGCAAGCTCCTGGCCTCATCCGCCATGTACTTGTGGATCACGTCAGCCTTGTCGTCCTGGTACTCGCGAAGGCCAACGAGGACAATGTCTCCGGTAGCAATCCAAACCTTCTTCTGCATCTTTCCCCGGATGTGACAAAGCCGCTTAGTCCCGTCAATGCACATGGCTTCGCACCACCCATTGCGCAGCATCTGTTTCACCTGGGCATATTCTTGACCTTCTTCTTTGAGGACCAACTCTCTCTTCTCGTCATCCTCGCCTTCGTTCTTCCCATTCTTCCTATTTTTTCCACCTTTACCTTTGTTCTTCGGCATCCTTTCTTCTTCTTCTAAAACGCTAGCGATATATAAAACCTTCTTCTAAAACCCTAGCAATATATAAAACAAAACTCAGGACAAAAAAAGAAGAAGAAGTTGCCTTAGGATGCAAGAAAGATATATGAGAAAGAAGATTGAAGATATATGAAGTTTAATTCGAACCAACAGAAAGTAGTGATTAAAAATTGAAGATTTTTGCCCTACCAAATTAATTTCCAAGTAAAGATTTTATTACTTTAGATGAATCTCTGAAGCTGATACGATTTGGTTATTGAGAATCGTTTGTTTGTTAGAAGGTTTGCAACAAAAAAAGGAAATAAAACGATGGACTAAATGCCTAATGTTAAGCAGCCAACTTATGCATGGACTACAAGGCACAGGAAGTGATAGAGTATTGAGTACAATTTTGTGGGGCGTTAATGGGGCGGGGGTAAAATGCTTCCCCCCCCCCCCCCCCCCCCTCCCAGTTACAAAACAGGGCGGGGGATAGTCCCCGCTTAAATAATAAATATACACAGATATATATGTCTATATACACACACATATATATATATATATATATCTTAATTATATACATAACATATTTAATATTATTAGTTATAAATATCAAATTATGCATATGTAATATAATTAATATTGTTAGTTATACTAATAATTATATATTTATATTAATACAAATTATTGATTAGTTATACTAATATATTTATACTAAATCATTAATTACATTCTTTTACTAATTGTAAATTTATTCTATTATATACTTTTTAGTAATTATACATTTATACTAAATTACTAATTAAAAATTTTACTAATTATAAACTTTTTCCTACAGGCGGGGTGGGGGAGCGGGTGACAGGGGGGCGGAGGCAGGGGATATGTTTAGGCAACCCCCAGCCCCCATCCCAATCCCACCCTACTGCCATCCCTAATGAAATATTGATACCCAACACTAATTGAAACATGGTGGACTGTGAACTATAATGCCCTAGTGGCAGACACAATTCCAGGTATGTTTCCAATGGAGTTTAGACTAAAGTAAATTTATAAAATGAATAAATCAGAAAATTGAGTCAGAACCTTACTTGTTCAAGGTGTGAAGATGAAAGACTTGATCATTCGCCTCCCCCCGTCTTTTTTCGCTATCCAGTTTCATTTTCAACTTGAGTGTTTTCAATGTTGGGACGTGGTCTTATAGACAAAATAAATTAACCGCTACTAGGTGGGGTGAGGGAAGGAAGTTAATTAATGGATCCCAAAATCATGTTCATCCCTACTTTCTCTCCAATAGTATGAACATGACCAATAGTTTATCCCAACTTTCTCTCCTATAATATTGATGTTGGTTAGGTGGAATAAGTAAGAATATGCTATGTTAGTTACTAAACTTGTATAGAATGTGAGTAAGCTATCAACCACCATTAACTCCCACTATCCCTTAGAAGTAGTGATCAGATAGGACACTGACATAAATTTCGAAAGATAATTAAACTAAGTAAAGAACTAGTAAAATAATTAATAATATTGATTAATTAATTAGTTTTAACCAAGAGGGAGATCGAAAAATTCAGGGTTTTACAAAACAAGCCAAACTTGAATATAATTTTGAGTTCGTCAAAATAATAAACAAGCTTGAACACAAGCATGTTTGGCTAGTTTAGAGTGGTTTACACCCCTACTAGCGAAGTGTATGAGTTTACGCAAAAGGAAAACATGCAAGTACGTTCAATGGGTAAACAAAGTGCTTCAATCACACAACGCCTTTGTGTTCAATGAGTTCAAGAATCATTTTGGTTTGTACAATTCCCATCAAGAGGCAATTGATAAGTGGCTTCAATTTGCATTTACCAGGAATGTCCAAAGGCTAGGGGTGGCTTGTCAGATTTCATGTTTGTTCATGTGCCTTCAGAGAATTATACTTTTCCATCTGGGGCCTTTGGCCTGAGAAGCGAGAAATCGTTAGGAAAAAGCCCTCGTGCATTTACTGGCTTTAAGTACCTCAAGGCATTCACTCTCAGAAGGGTTGATGTTCCCTGGGAAGTTCTTGAACTCTTCTAGTTTCTTGAACGTCTGGTAGTGCATATGTCCAATTTGTTGATAAATGTGGAAGCTTTTGGTCCATAACCTGCACTGAAACACTGGATATTTGTATAGCCTGCACTGGAACACCTGGAGATTGTTTCTGTCCTAAAACTGGACTTTGTGTGATGCAAATATTGTCTCACTTAAGATTTTGTTCATCAAGAAAACTGCTGCTTAATAATGTTCCACTGCTCGTCGCTGTATTCTGTCAAGCTGATACCATCAACATTGTTGGCATTGCAGGGATGTTATGCCTGGGCTGTTCTGGCGCCTGCCAAAACTGGAGGTTTTGGCATTATGCCGGGATGCAAGAGATGTTAGTATTAAATTATTCTGTGGAATCTTGGCTACATTTTCTTCTCTATGTTCGGTTTATCTATTACTCCTTACCTGTGCCTTCTTATTTTCTTTGACCTTTTGTGTTTCGATTGCGTTTCGATCATCTTAGATTGAAGAAATGCTTGTTATTGAACTTCCTCAACTTCCTAAACTCAAGCAGTTAACAATTGAAGCTTTTCCATCTGAAGATAGCAATAGACTGGTTGAATTGACTTCCTTGATCAGGGGAGTGCCCAACTTGGAGAAGCTAGTAATAACTAATAAAGTTATCAAATTCTTATGCTAATTCCCCTGTAGCCTGGAAATTAATAATTCTTTTGAGTATTATCTCCTTTTAGCTTCTGGATCCTCACACTAGTTACTTTCTGTGCGACCTGTGTATCTGATTTAAGTCATGATGTACAATTCCGTATGTTAAGCCTTCAGTCTATTTATACTTTTGCATGATACCCAAAGAAGGAACCATTAGAGATGATATAACTACTCTTTAATTTTATGTTATCTTTCCTTTATGTTTATCCTTGTATTAGAAGTTGCTCCTGCTGTAGCTGTTTTCTTTTGTTTATTGGTCTATTGTATGTGGTAGAGTTTGCTATTCCTTCTCACCTTCAGGTTTGTAAATTTTGTGTTTTACGGTTGCAATGGGACTTGAAAGAGTTAATGGAGGCAGACAGTTAGGAAAGACCTGTAAATTATCCACTGCAACATCTTAAAGTGTTCGAGTTATACTATGGTGGTACAAGTGAACTTGAACTTGTTAAGTTCTTCTCTGAAAATGCCACTTCCCTTGAAAAAATTGTAATCATTCCTCAAGAATATATCCACTTGCCACATAGTTCTAGGTCTTGGCAGATGGACGATGAACAATTTTTAAGGGAATGTGCCAAGCAACAACTTAGAGGGTTGCTTGCTTCACATGATATTGAACTTAAGATACTCTAGAATTCAGTTTAATTTATTTACTGTTTTATCAGGCATTGTGAATCTGTCGATGATATGATCCGTGATTTGAGCCGGATCCACAGAGATTAGTGCTGATCTGCTGAAATCCATGAAAAAGATTTACATGGGAAATTGATGAAGCTATGCTTTTTGCTTGATCATCCTCTAGCTAGTGATTCCTATATCAATTTGGGTCAAAACTCGAAAAATTAGGAGTGATGTCCTGCATAAAAGCTTGTAATAAATGGATTCTGGTAAATGAAGTGAACTTGGTAAAAATGCTGGTGGTTGTCTAATTGTGAACAAGTCTATGTGTTTGCCTATACATGAGCACCATTACTGATTCTGCTTCAGTAATTAATTTGGTAAAGTTACTTTGTCTACTTATTGTTTGTGGAAGGGAAAGTTGGACGAGATGATCAGTCTGTAAATTTTGTTTTCACCTTTTGAACACTTTCTGTGAAATACATCATATTAAGAAGCATGGCCTTTTTGATTCTAGAATGATGATTGTAGGGAATATTATTTCACAGAGTTAGGTTGAAATTAATGGATAAAGTAACCTTCAACAAAACATAGCTAGAAATAAAGTAAATTTCTGTACCCTGTCAAGGAATAAATACAGTGTATGCATGAGACTTAGTAGCCTGTATTGATATAAGGTTGCAGATGAATGATTTTACAATCCCCTCTTCACAGCCACATTCTTTAACCCCAGCTAACAATGTTCCTAAGATTTTTTTCAAGATCACAAGAAATAAAACAAAAAAAAAAGGTTAATGCAAGAGGTAAAGTGAAAAGCATTGCATCCTATGTTTGCTTTCCTGTATTATTCTGGAAAGCAAGCAAGGCCATGTATGTTCTCTTGTGTTGCTCAACTACCTGGTTCAAAAGGGTATTCAGTTTGGTTGCAGTCAATGAAAGTTAACAGGGCATCAGAATTGGAAACTTCTGAACCAAGAATATCAGTTGAATAATTCCATTTGTTGAACGTCCCAACGAAAAAGAAGAAGAAGAAGAAGAATTTCAGTTCAAACAACACCACCCTTGAACTATGACAAAGGTTAATCTAAACATTCCAAGGGGTAAAGTTCCAAAAATCAAGAACGAAATCGAAACAACATTGAAGTTGAACGTATTGAAGTTGAACTTAATAACATGATTCAGAAGTTATATATCTAGATTCGATCGATGTCTTCATCCTCAAAATCAACATAATCATCAATACCACCATCATCATCCCCTGGGTCCATTACGCTTTCATTGACTCGAATGCTTTCAGGCAACTCTTCATATTGCTGCAACCTCCTTGCCTCGTCGGCCATGTACTTGAGGATCACGTCAGCCTTATCGTCCTGGTACTCGCGAAGGCCAACAAGGATAATGTCTCCGGCAGCAATCCAAACCTTCTTGTGCATCTTTCCTCGGATGTGGCAAAGCCGTTTGGCGCCGTCAATGCACATGGCTTCACAACGGCCGTTGCCGAGCATCCTTATCACCTGAGCATATTCTTGGCCGTCTTCCTTGTATACAAGCTCTCTCTTCTCATCGTCCGCTTCGTTCTTTCCTCTTTTCTTATTTTTCCCTCCTTTTCCCTTGTTCTTCGGCATCTTCTTCCTGCCTCTTCCTTCTTGTAA